GATTTCTGCACCTCTAACGAGACTGATTCAGAAGTCAGTAGCTTTTATTTGGACACCGGAGTGTGAAGCTATTTTTTAGAAATTGAAGGATTGTTTGACTTCAGCACCAGTGTTAGCACTTCCGTCAGATACGAAAGAATTTCAGGTGTTCAGTGATGCTTCACTGAAAGGTTTGGGCTGTGTTCTGATGCAGCATGGTCGAGTAATTGCTTATGCTTCAAGGCAGTTGAAATCATATGAAAAGAATTACCCGACACATTATTTGAAATTGGCTGCAGTTGTCTTTTCTTTGAAGATTTGGCGTCACTACTTATATGGCGTCAGATGTGAGATCTTTACGGATCATAAAAGCTTGAAGTACATCTTCACTTAGAAGGATCTGAATTTGAGCCAAAGAAGATGGCTTGAATTGATCAAGGATTATGAGCTGACGATTCAATATCAGCCTAGTAAGGCTAATGTGGTAGCAGACGCTCTGAGCAGGAAGTCTTCTGAATTATCAGGTATTCACCATACTTCTGATGAGTATCTGATAAGAGATATGAAAAGATTACAGTTGGAGGTGATTTCCTCTACTAGTCCGGATTCTGGTGTGTTGACTCAGATGGACATTCAGTCATCTTTGAAAGAAATGATCTAAGAAGCCCAGAAGTCAGACGCTGACTATTCGAAGCTGATTGTTCAGATTGAATCTGGTAAGAAACCTGAACTACGACTTTCTGATTCTGGTATCATTTTATGTAAGAACAGACTGTGGATTCCTATGTCTGGAGATCTGAGGAAAGAGATTCTACACGAATCTCATCATTCAGGCTATACCATTCATCCAAGAAGTGGTAAGATATACGGAGATATGAAGAGTTTATTTTGGTGGCCTGTAATGAAAAAGGATATAGTAGAGTTTGTTCCGAAATGCGAAGCCTGTCAGTTAGTGAAGGCAGAGCATCAGCGACTAGGTCTTTTGCAGTCGTTGCATATCCCTGAGTGGAAATGGGAGGAGGTAACGATATATTTTGCTATAGGTTTCCTCGATCAAGTCAAGGATATGATGCAATTTGGGTAATTGTTGATCGTCTGACGAAGTCTGCACATTTTCTTCCGATAAGGCAGACGGATCCGGTGGATAAGTTAGCTCAAGTATATGTTAAAGAAATTGTTAGATTGCATGGTGTGCCAAAAGTGATTGTATCTGATCGAGATGGACGATTTACTTCCAAACTTTGGAAGGGTATTCAGCAAGAATTGGGTACAAAGTTGTATTTCAGTACTGCTTTTCATCCTTAGGCTAATGGACAGTCTGAGAGGACTATTCAAGTACTGGAAGATCTTCTGAGGATATGTGTTTTGGATTTCGGAGGTAGTTGGGAGGATCACATTCCACTGATAGAATTTGCTTATAATAACAGTTTTCAGTCAAGTATTGGTATGGCACCTTACGAAGCTCTGTACGGCAGAAAGTGTAGAACACCTTTGACTCTAACTGAAGTGGGAGATAGACAAGAATTGGGTGCAACTTTTGTGGATGAAACCGTTATGAAAATCAATCTGATTAAAGAAAGATTGAAAGCTGCACAAGATAGACAACAGAAGTATTACAATCAGAAGCACAGATTTATAAAATTTCAGGTTGGTGACTTTGTCTATGTCAAAGTCAGTCTGATGAAAGGTGTTAGCATATTTGAAAGAGTGAGCAAGCTTAGTCCAAGGTATGTCGGACCTTTTGAAATTATTGAAATTGGAAAGTCTGTTTATAGATTGTTATTGCCTGATCAAATGTCCGATATACATAATATTTTTCACGTATCTTCTTTGAGAAAGTGGATGTCTAATTCTGAAAAGAAACTGTCTGCTGATGATGTGGAGATTCAGGAGAATCTGCAGTACAAGGAAGAGCTTGAACAGATTTTAACTCACGATGTTATCAAGTTAAGAAACAAATAGATTCCGATGGTTAAAGTTTAATGGAAGCATATAACAGCACGAGAGGCGACTTGGGAGGAGTCGGATATGAGACAGTTATATCCGCATCTCTTCCGACTCAGTTTTGTTTTGAAAATGTCGAGGACGACATTTTTCTGAAGTTTGCGAGATTGTGAAAGCTATTTTCCATCCAGGATCGTCCAGGACGAAGTTGGATCGTCCTGGGACGATCGGTACAGGTTTGTACAGGTTTTGGGGACTAAGAAGTTCGTCCCAGGACAAAATAAGGTTCGTCCGTACAAATTTTTTTCAGAGAGCAACTCGTCCAGGTACGATAACTATTTCGTCTGGACGAATTTTGTCCAAAGAGCAAATCGTCCCGGGACGATTTTGGATCGTCCAGGACGATCTGGTTGGATATATATGGAAATGAGATCTTTTTGAAGAGAGAAAAGGGCAGGAGAGAGAAAACCAAAGGAAAAAGAAGAAAAAGTGATTTTTGGGCGACTTCTGTCCGTTTCGGTCCGTAGCTGCAATTGAGAAAGTTGACCGACTCGAGGTAAGGCACATTCCGCACTTCTCAATTTTCAAAAATGAGGATTTTGATGACTTTTCTGTTTCGAATTTTGGTTCCATTAGTGAAATTCTGGTATTATTTTGTACTGATGAACTTCTTACCGCATAACTTTTTGTATGTTTCTGAGATGATATTTGTGCACGTTTTGAGTATTTTTTGAAAGATTTTTACCGGGTATTTGATATTCTGCGGCGTTTTAATCGAACTACGAATTATCTAGATATTGAAAAATGTTGCTTCAGTACAATAAAAGTCTTACAATATTGTTTTGTATTTTGTGGTAATTTGGTAAAATTCTGAATCTGTGAATTCTGTGTAAATTCTGTATAATGCCGTTATGCCGCTGACGATTTTTCTGACGAAAACCGATTTTCTGAATTGAATGATTTGATGTATTGTGATATCAGAAGGGAGTTATAAGGGGCCAGAATCCTTTGAGATTCTGTCTGTGTCAGAGAAATCTGAAAAGAAAACAAGTTCTGTTCTGGTGCTATAAGCACAAAGGGAGACATAAGAGACCAGAATCCGTCGAGATTCTGTCTGTGTCAGGGAAGGGAGGCATAAGGGGCCAGAATCCGTTGAGATTCTGTCAGGGTCCGGGAATCTGATATGTGAAATGTGATATCTGAAATGCAATTTTATCTGATTTGAACGATCCGATCCATTCTGTGATTTGAAAGTTTTATAAGTTTTATCAGCTATGTTCTGCACTCTGATTTGAATTCATGTATCTGTGATATGATTTTTATTTGATCAAGTATTTGTTCTGTCTGTTATACGATTTCTGTACGACTGTTTGAATTATGTACGGCTATTTGAATAACTGCTTCTGATGTATTTTCTAAGGTGAATTTCTGGAGATTTTGATGGGTGAGTGTAGTCTTGCTGAGCTGTTAGCTCAACATTGTTTTCTGCGTGGTTTTCAGGTTCTGGGAAAGGGAAGGAAGTCTTGGACTAGCAGTTCTGTGTCTGATCAGTGATTAGGTATTTTATACTTTTGATTTTTGTACAGTTATGACTTTTCTGTTCCGTTCTGTTCTTTCTGTCTGTAGCCATGTACTGTATTGTATATGATTATTTTGATGAAAGAAAGAAGAAAATAGTGGATACGTTTCTGTATGTATTTGAAGTTTATAGCCGCTCTGTGTTTCTGTTTGTTTGAATATCTAGAAGAAAGTCTGAATCAAATTCCAAAACTAGATCCTGGATTTTCAACATTTGTCGCGGCCCGACGCGAAGGGATTCGTTCCGGTCGGGTTGGGTCTTGACACACATAACCTTTCTCTCCCTTGCTCAACGTTCTCTCATAGAAGAAATAAAAACCCTTGACTACCAAAAACTCATCTAAAGTTATAACAAGAGTTTATATATAGGGCTTCAAATAATCCTAATTTTCCAATTCTAGCGCTTCTATTCATATAGTACAATATGAGTATCGTACAATACGATTAGTTCAGGTTGTTGTTACAGGAAGGGCAAGGACAAGGTGGAAGCAAATTAGCATAAGGTTAATATAAAACTCTATTTTTTGGAGTATAGCTGAGTAAGTAAGTCTACTGCAGAGGTATGTAGATTGTTTATTATTGTAATTTTTTGGAGTCTTAGGGGCTCTGAAATTATATAAACATTATAAACATGAGACATTTTGGATGCTCCATTTATTGATGAACATGTTAATCTATGGTTGAATATATATATACACGATTCTGAGTTTTAAATATTGAAGAATTTGATGTTTTCTCTGTTGCACCCTTCGTTTCTGGTAGGGGTGACGTGGGGTATAATAGGAAGTATGTTGATACAATTGAGGATGGAGAACGAAAAAAAAAGCAATTAAATATAATGATAATTCTAATGAAAACCCTTGGTGAAGATTAAAAATGAAGAATAATTTTGGGAGGATGTTGATACAACTAGGGATGAAAGACAAGAAAAAAAATTAATTACAATGATCATTCTAATGAAAACCCTCTAGTGATGAAAGTGAGGATTTTTTTTACATACATAATTATACTCATAAGACTACTTGTTCAAATTGAATTGGAAATGAAAGAAATTTTCCATTTAATGCAGCTTTTTAACTTTTTATGATCATATTTTGATATTAAAATGCTAGTTCTTATTTTGTATTTTTATTAATTTAATGGTTCAAAATGTGGCTTTCACATCAAAAAAGCTTGACACTTATGATTCAACTCAACCCAAAAAAAGCCTCAATACACAAATATGCAACTGCAAAAAACTTTATTCATTAGTCTAAAGAACCATGATGAACATTTATTAAGATAGTTTAACTTAATCCACGGACGACTGAAGAATTTAACACTTTTTCTATCGACAAACACAACCAATGCACATAAGCAAACATAAACATATATCATTTCTTAAAGGTCGTGGTCTATCAATACACCTGTGGAGCAAAATACAAATTCTAGAATAGTGGTTATAAAGAAAATTAATCTACTTATTGAAGGTATTTATATAAGCATACTGAACTGTGTACCTCGAGCTGCTCAACTGGTAATGGAATGCCTATTGAGTGCATAACATCCTGGGGCAGGGGTTTCTTACAACGAGACCAACGGTAGACATCAATAATATTCTCACGCTCTAACGGATGTTTATCACCGTTTTGGGTATGATGGCTTTGTTGCTTCTCCTGCTCTGGTTCTAACAAATGATTAGAGGTTGAAGTCGTTCCATTACAAACAGACTTCTCACCGTTGAAGCACAGCTCATACCTACAAGTTAAATCAAGAAATACAATTAAAAAGAGGACTTCTTCTGAGCTTGTTTTTGGCATTCACAGAAACGATAATAACAAGACATTTATTGTAGGTGCAATAAATATTTCTAAGAGAACATTATTCCAAAAAGATCAGCACCCGTTTCTGAACTAAAAACAGAATGTCTAGCATAGAAGAAATTAAATAAATCTAGTAATGTGTGATCTAAGAAAAAATAACATATGCAAAAAAACTGAAGATAATGAACCAGTCTCAAAAGCAACAAATCGTTAAGTTTGCAGCAAAGAGGACCAAATTTCAATATAATTACCAGGAAAATGTTAGTCATTGGCACACGTTTCAAGCACTTCATGACAAGAAACATAATTGGAAAATACCTATTATAATGCGTTTCCAAATATAAAACCTCTCCTTTCTTCAATCGAGCTGATGTATAAAGAGGCTTCTTAAGTCCCTTATCAGCAACTATGTTAATGCTATATTTTAGCCTGTTGAAATGTCAGCATCAAACAAAAAAAAAAAGTCAGTTTCGTAAGCACTAACAAACTTGATTATACTTCCAAAAACACCATAAATGCTAATTGTAAAGTAGATTTAAGTATTAACTCAACCGCATACTGAGGTTTTTATTGCTTCCACAAAATGGCAAGGTAAGTAGGACCGCAAACTTTATGTATAAGACAAGAAACAAGTGATACCTAGTCGGATTTTAGACAACAAACAATAATGTTTAAAACTTGCTAGCATGGAATTCCCACCTTACAACGAGTAAACTTGACTGGCCACTAGGCTTATAGCTGGAACTAAAATTCAAGGTGCAAGAATCATAGCAAGCTACACCCAATGCAAAAGGTGTTTTAAATGAAAGGCTCACAAAGAATATATAAAAGGAACAAGTTAAATGTAAAAGAAAGGAAGTTGGGAAGGGCTGATATGAACATTTTGCATAAATACACAAAGAATAGATAAAGCAGTAATAATATTGCATTAAAATATATAATTCAGAAATGTTAGCTTGCCTAAAGCTCCAGGAATACCAACTAATTAACCAGATACATTTCATTTCCCAACATTCCCCACTTCTTCACAATGATATTACCCTAAATTTAAAGCAAATAATAGCGAGATCAAGTCGAGGCAGCTCTAATCAACACTTGAGAGCTTGAGCAGGGCTAAGGATTTTTAGAGCTGGCTAGAGACCACATACATGAAAGATATGAGGCATAAGAGCTAGATCAAGCCTTGATGCTGGACGGATCTAGCCTGATCACAACTGAAGTGGCCAGACTAGGAGGATCTCAGCTAAGTCATAGGCAAAGATTCGGGGCACATATCTCCTGATGTAAGAGAGGGAAGAGGTAGACTACCGCGATGAACGAGAAGATCAGGAGGATGGCTGACTGAAGGTTGAATCTAGGAATATTGCGAACGATGTAGGCTGATCTGGGTGAATCTGTGTATAAGCGAGTTGAGGTAGATGCAGGCTGATCTGGGTGAATCAATGCATAAGCGAGTTGAGGTAGGAAGTCTATTATGAGATTTGAATTGGACAGCAGCAAGAGGCTAGAAAGAGCACAGATGGCTTGATGCGGCCTTGTGTTTGCAGATCATGAAGTAGGATAGGTTGTGAATCTAACCAATGGAGCAGAGGTGAATTTTGTGTTGGCAACCATGTCAAGAGGTTTGGAGATGACAGGAGGTCCCTCAATTGTGATAACTGGATGGTTACGATGGAATCGCAGTTGAACACATGATCTAGGGGATGGGTACTAGAAATAAGATGGGTGTTTGGATATGCCAGTGTAGTGGAGATCACATGAAGTAGTAGATCTGAGGAAGACAAAAGCGGATGCGGTGTATTTGGATGGCGACCAGAGATGTTACCCATGAAAGATGGGGGTAATATCATCACCCAAACAACAGCGAGGCTCATCGAAAGCACCATTGATATGGACATTTTGCAAAAATGCAAAAAAAATTAGGAAAATAGTAATAATATTGCATTAAAATAGATAAGTAAGAAACTATAATTTGCATAAAGCTCCAGGTAGTAAGAGTCTAAGAATTAAGGCAATTTTAGGATATTCACAACTCTAGGTATTTTAGGGCGCCAAAAGCTCAATTGTGTTCACACCATTTGCTTGATTCCCTGGATCCTAAGAGAAATTATTCATAGCATACAAGATAACGTAAGAATCCATGAATAACACTTCGTAATACCCAATAAATAACCCATTACATTTCATTCCCTAACAAAGATTGCATTAAGACAACTATAATAACAAAATTTTAAAATTACCTCAAGCCATGCCCGTGGTAAAACTAATGTGCTTGAAAAAGAGCATGACCCCATTATTGTTTATTGTGCCAGAAATGAACACCATACAAAATTACTAGCCTAGCATAGGAGGGAAAAAACAACATAAAGGTTGCAAATGTTTAGCTAACTCTAAATCTAGGGTATAGTGGCGATGACAACATATAAATACATCAGGCCAGAACTGCATAACTACACTTTGAACACAAGATTAATCATTGCCAAGTAAATAAAAAGCAGGAATAATAAAAAGCTGCAAAGCATTGATAATTGTAATTGTGAACGTAAGAAGCTTGTACAAAAGATCAATGCTGACAAATTGATTGGCCTATAGCATTAGTTATTATTTCAGGCTAAAAATTATATCATGAAAGACCATGCATATCCAAGCAATTGGGTAAGTCTAGAACTAGCACAAGAGGAACTGACAAAATGATATATAAAAACAATCTTAAAATGCAAGAAAGGACAAAGTATATAAATATTTCTTTCAAAATTTAAGGCATGCCGCCAATAAGCACATATAATGAAGATCTTAGAATATTATTACTCTAAATTCAGTGAAAAATCCAAGCTATATATTAGGAAATACTTGAAGATGTCAAGTAAACCCTAACAATAGAGGAAAAAACATCAAGAACGGTTCATAAATCCAAAGGGAAAAAACAAACAAACAGTAGTTTAGATTGCAATAATAAAACTAACTGTTGAAACAGAGAATTTGAGAGGGAAAAGCTTGAATTTTATTATGCAATCTACTCCTTATTTATAGATCTATACAAGGTGTATTGATAAGGAAACAAATAACTCTTATAATAATGAAAATACAATTATTCCTAAATCAATGGAAGGAATTAATGCTATCCAGGTAGACTTCCCACGGATTACTGTTCTCAGCCGTTGATATCTTTGGGATCGTAAGGTTGAGATTTAACACTCCCCCTCAAGCTGGGAAGTATGGATCCGTCATTCCCAGCTTGTCAATCATTCGGAGAAAGGGAGAACTGTCCAATCCTTTAGTAAGGATATCTGGAAGTTGATCCTTTGATGGTACATGGTCAACACTTACTAGACCACTGTCTAGTTTTTCTTTAATAAAATGTCTGTCCACTTCTATATGCTTGGTTCTGTCGTGATGGACTGGATTGTGGGCTATGCTGATTGCTGATTTGTTGTCACAATGTAGTTTCATGGGCTCTCATCTAGGATTATTTTGATCCATAGTAGCACACATATTCCCAAGGCCATAGCTCGATATTCTGCTTCTGCACCAGATATTGCCACCACATTCTGTTTCTTGCTCTCCATGTAACTAGGTTACTCAAGAAATGTGCAATTCACCCAGCAGGTAGGGTCTTTATCAATCCTGTACTCCTGCCGTAGTCAGCATGCCTGCGTACTTCTAGAGTTATTCCATGATCCTCTTAAGAGAAATTCCTTTCTAGGCTTCTTTAAGTATGCCCCGATTCCTGATCTTACCGCTTGCAGTGGTGATACTGCTTGAGATTCTGCATAAACTGACTGACCATGCTTATAGCAAACATGCTACTGTCTGGTCTGGTGTGGGAGGTCCAGATCACATTTCCGCTACAAGTCTCTGTGTTAGGCACCCTTATCTACATCATGTTTCTTAGCTTCTCCCACTAGAGTTAGGTTCTACTCGCCTGGTTGGGTGCTGGTTTACAGGCTAAGGCTTTACCTCTCATCTTAGAAGATCTTTGATTATTCCTCTGTCCCTGTGAATGAATTCCTCTGCTGGAGTGAGCTTTCAATTCCGAGGAAATATTTAGTATTTACAAGTTCTTGATGTCGAAATTCCCTAATCAAGACCTTCTTCCTTAAAGCTGGCGTTACTCCTCTTATTATTTCCAGTCAAAATAATATCATCAACATACACTAATAATATTGTGGACGTCCCCTGAGTACTGAGTGTTTTGCAAGAATAAGTGTATGATCCCTGACTCTGTCAATAACCCATTCAGGGCATGATTTAGCAGAATCTTCCGAACCAGCCTTGGTGATGTTGACTATATAGAGCTTTTTCAGTTTGCCACACCCTGTTACCGATCAGATTTCTTTAAACCCCTGGTATGTATTTCCATAAATATCTCCTTCTTCTGAATCCCCATGCAAAGAATGCATTTTTCACATTCAATTTGCTTACAGTGCCAATCGACTTGGCTGCTAGTGAGAGTAAGTATTCGAGACATATTCACTCTTGGCTATAGCGCCCCAAACCGTTTCCATCGGTAGTCAATGCCATACGTTGCATAAACCCTTTGCCACCATTCTTGCCTATTACTAACTCTCTAAGTGTGCCATCAGCATTGTATTTTACTGAGATAACACCCATTTGCAGCCGACCAATTTTTTCCCTTTGGTAGATTGACGGATTCTCCCAAGTTTTGTTCTATCTCAGGGCCATACATTCCATCCTTTATGAATTTTCCAATCTTTATCAGATCAAGGCCTCAGAAAACATCTTTAGGAATATGGATATCTTCCTAATGTACAAGAAAATTTAGTTGACGTGAAGAAAGTTGTTGAAGATATAAGAGTTGTTGATACGGGCTATAAGGGAGGGGGTGGAACTTACTCTTATTTCCATGAAGGATGGTTCAGATTCTTGAATCGTGCTTGGAGTGACAGCTTGAGCTTCTAGTTGAGTAATCTTTCCAAATCTAATAACGTGTCAATTTGTTTCCCTTTCTTGGGTTTCAGGTGGATGTTCTAAGGTGGAAGAGGAAGGTCAAGAGCTGTTAGTTCATTTTCTCACTCTTCCTCAAGTCTCACTCTTCCCCCGAATGTATGAGTTTGTGCCCAAAAATAGGAATCATGTCAACCAAATGGTACACACTCAGATCAGAGACAGAAGGATTTTTCTTGCTGGAGGATGATAACTGTATACCCTTTTGGGTAGTAGAGTACTCCAAAAAAGATGCATTTGATGTGCTCTTGGATCTACATTTATCCTCGTTCTGGCTGTGGATAGAAACAATAGGCAGTGCATCAAAGCATTTTGGGTCAAGATGATGATTGGGTTCCGGAAAACTCGGTAGAAAGAGCGACGAAGTCCTCCATTGGAGTTTTGAGGCCTAGGAGGTCTATTCGAATGCTGAAGGCGTTTCATAGACTTGCGTGCAGTTAAAAAAGAGCTTCCCCCCAAATACG